TCTTATAAATCATATTATCCCCTTATCAAGTGTGTCTTACGGCTAATACTTTAAGTCTTAGCTCTATACTATATTGTACTTATTACAATTTAAAATTTATGGAATTAGCTTGAATGTATCTGAAACCCTTGTGAATCCCCTATATTCTCATATGATCTTGCGTAGATCTGAAGCTCATCAAATATAATATGTAGCATAATAAATATGATTTAAGTAAACTGTTTAAAACATAGAATCAACGTTCTATAGTCAATCTCTTATATTCCCAGACAAAATTCATTTAATTATATTTCAATACTGCTAGTCAAAGATTATATCAGAGCTCCTTCCAGTTTGGATTATCTCAACATATAAATTATATAAAAAATCTCCTACAATAATAGCTTACTACTGCAAAGGCATTTCGATATCGATATGCCGATAATAATTGTTGTCTTTGTTGTATTGTGTTCAGCTATTGTGGTGCATACGACATTAAACATACATATATACACGCACACACACTTACACAGGCACATCATCAATCTACATGGATTGCATGGTATTAGCTGATATACATACCCTCCTCCAGCTCGTCATCGGGGCCTGCGACAAGCTCGTCGTCGGAGCAAATGTTGAGAACATTAACCAGCATCTCCGTGACCTAGGATAGAATGTGACTTGGATTGGAATAAGTGTTGCTTGACTTGGCCCCGACAAGGGATGGGCGGGCGAGAGGGGAGACTCACCTTTTCGCCAACAAAGGGCAGGGACCAGGTGAAGACATCCATGAAGTTGGGCAGCCAGTAGGGATGCGGAGAGCAGTTGAATTGTCTTATGTTCATCACGTTGTTCTCGTACTTGAGCACAGCTGCCTTTTGTCAAATGTTGACGATGCGTTTTGACAAAAATTTGTTGCGAAAATATGAAAAACAGAGAGAGCCAAACAATATTTACGGGGGAGGGGGCAAGACAAATAAAAGAAAAATACTCGATCTATAACAAGCGCAGCGCTGTGCAGCTAACGATTTCTTGCTGTTGTTGTGTAATTTAAAAATAGCCAACGACGAGCGAACAAATTCAAATATACAAATGTGGCTAAATAAAGTTGATCGTATTGGCCAAGTCATACCTTGTTGTTGTAAACATCCAAATAGTTGGGCGCCGAGAAGATGGTGATCAGCGAGGGGAAGCCCGTTACCTGATTTTTCCGATACATGCGATAGCTGCAAGTAAACGAATCGATTTGAGAAAGAGCCCCAGTCTAAACTTAAACAATCCAATGATAAATAATCAAAGCATATATTAAATATGTAGTTTCAAAAAGGAAAGCCTTACCCCGCATCCTGAGCCTCGTGCGCCCGGACTATGGAGAGCAGATTGTTCTTTTGCAGAAACTCACAGCAGGCCGCGTAGCTGAAGAAATAGGAACAGCCGCGCACCGAATTGTGTGAGAAGAACTCGGTGGTCTTCTCATTGCCAAAATCCTCCAACGGATCGGACCATAACAGATCACACATGGGCCCATAGGCGGGCGGCTCCCTGAATCGATTCAGCTGCAATTCGCACAAACGAGACCAAAACAAAACGAAACGAGAACCAACAACAATTTTGACAGACGATTGTAAACATTTCAGCGAGACAGTCGACTGCCAAATTTATTACCGTCTTGATGTCGTCGAGTGTGAAAATCTCGGGCGATAGACCGCCGTGTATGCACAGAAACTGTTGGTTGAGCAGCGCGGCGAGGGGCAGGCAATCGAACGCTTCCATGCACGCATCGTAAATACTTTCCGAATATTTAATAATGCCTGCAATGCCAAATGGATCGAAAACACAATAAGCAAAAATACCAATAAGGTGTTCGAGATTTATGCACTTCTTGTTGCTCTTATAATGACAGTAAGATATACATAATAAGTGCTAGCATATATCTGACTTTCTTGACAAGCTTGCAAAATATTGAATTAAGGATTTGTACATTCTTAATTTGTCAGGTAATTAGTTTTATAGCATGATTTGAAAATCAAATATTATTTTTGTGTTTATTAAGGCATAGGTTTATACATATAAGCTGGATATGAATTAGAAGGAATGATTGTTGTCACAGGCCAATGGCAATATTTCTACTATTGTGCTACAATTTCCATCATTACAATAAATTACTAACAGTACCAACCACAGTTCTGGGGTAGAAAAGTGGACTAAAAGGTTGCTTATGAAATCAAAGGGTAGTAGTAGGGTAGTAGGCAGTAGAATGTGATATATGAGACAATTGAATAATTGATACAGAGGAAGAAAGAATCGAATGCTATCAATTTATATGAATAAAAACAACTTGAATCTGATAATTGATAGGTAGATAAGGGTTTTCTAGCTAATCATAAATTTCTTTCAATTAGAGGTCCAAATTGTTCCATCAAATCAATAATATCCTTCACTTATCATTTATTGATCTCCTATGTGATATTTGCCTGCTCTATCAATCTCTACTCACACTCCTGTTTAAAGGTGAAGTATTCCGTTAGGTGGCGGCACTCGTGATTGCCGCGCAGCAGAGACAGCGTGTCGGGATAGGTGATCTTCAGGGCCCACAGATAGAGCACACACTGTGTAAAGTGCAAGGGGGGAATATTGCATAAGTAGTCTATATAACACGTGCACTGGCACAGCACTCACTCACCTCTATGCTGAAGTAGCCCCTGTCCACGTAGTCGCCCAGAAAGAGGTAACGCGTGGTAGCCGGCGGTCCGCCAACCTCGAAGAGTTTAACCAAGTCGAAGAACTGACCGTGAATGTCGCCGCAGACGGTAATCGGAGCCTCCACATCGATCATATTCTTCTCCTCACGCAACAGATCGGCGCCATCGTTGATGATGCGCAGGGCGACGGATTCCTCGATGCGGCCCTCGAGGAGAAAGTGCTGACGCAGTACATCGAAATTGGGCTTGCCCGTTTTGGGATCGTCGTAGACCTCGGACATGGTCAGTTTGTGTGTGGGCGGCAGGGGCACATCTAAATAGCAGCAGCGATTGAATTAATTAGTTTATATATACATAAATACACGTTGCGTATACGCAATGTGCAACGTCTGATGTACACTGTAGTTTATGTGAGTCTGTCTGTGCTTGTGTGYGTGTGTTTATGTGTGTTTGTATATGCATGTGGGTTAACGAGCTGCAGCAACTTATCGCCAATATTTGGCTTGGCTAAGCTGCCAGATTTACGATGCCCGCACATCTGCCCCTAGCGGCGGCATCTGCCAGGGGTAAATGCACATGAATTTTCTACGCTAATTACGAAAATTTTGAATGAGTGAATATAAAAGTCGCACATTGATTGGCACACACAAAAACAAACACGCACACACATACGTCCGCACACAATTTCAGATTGTCTTCATCGAAATGTTCAAATTACCGCGCATTATGCCAATAAAATGCCAATATTGTCTATGGCCCAGATGCTGTACATAATGACTGCCAAAGCATTATTTCAATTAAATTAAATCTTTATTTATTCAAACACATTTCATTCAGATGATGTTTTATGCAACATTAACTGAGTGTAAGGTGATTTTTATATTAAAGTATTTCACGTTTGCTATATCAAATATTTTTGGAACGTGGAAGTAAAAGTGTAAATTGGAGAGCGAGCGGGAGCAAGAGCGAAAGAGAGAGAGAGAGAGAGAGAGAGAGAAAGAAAAGGAAAGAGAGCGAGAGAGAGAGAGAGACACAGATATATATGTGTTAATTGTTTGCTATTCTATTTAGTTAAATAACAGTCAATTTTAGTAGAAAAATTCAATATACTATTAAAACTTTTAATAATCATATATGTATAAATATTCTCATCTAACTAAAAAACATAAGAATATTATCTTTTGCAGTTCATTAACGTAACGACAGAGCCTAAATCATTTTCTTATTGCGAGTATTTCAGATGTTCAATGATATTTATACATAAAACTAAAAATATATTTAGACTACTGAAAATGCGGAAATTGTCATCAGAAATGGGAAACTTGGCAATTTTTAAATTACTTTGAAATGTTGATTTGATTTCTGACGTTTGTCGATTTATTACACTCAACATCAATAAAAGTTCGGAACTGCATCATAAAAATTTGACTTAGGTTTACTTGAAAATGTTTCGTATAAGTATTTGGAATTCAACTGCAATGCAAGTCTACACTGAATAAAAATGATTTTTAAAATTAAAAATATAATACACAAAGTTTTATAAGGTATTAATGCAGTATACTGATATTTGTATTGAGAGGCTTCATAGTCAAAGAGAGAATTTAAGCACATTTGAAGTCTGTCATAGGACAGTTTAAATACATTTTTCAAGACATGTAAATTTTAGTATAATTCTTATAATATGTAGGTGTATAATAAAATAATAAAATAATAAAATACCAATAAAATTGGACATAATGTGAGCTTAATTAGTAAATATGTTGTACATATTGACATCTGGCTGTTGCAGTATCTTAAATTTACAACTTAAGCTAATGAAGAAAGGATTTTTATTGATGATAGCAATATTATTAAAGTGTGCTTGTAGTGGGGCTCTGGGACAGTCTTAAGATCATAGAAGTAGATTTCTTATGAATACAACAATTCTTGTTTTGTACTGTACCATCGACAATGCGTTCCCTCGTCTTTGTGTATTGCATTTTCTGTTTGCTGCCGGTCCCCGTTGCATCTGTTGTTGTTGTTGTTGCACTAATGCTGGATGACTTTGTTGTTGATTTCGTAGTGGATTTGGTTGTTGTTTTGTCCGTGGTGCTACTTTTGGACAGCGACGATTTTCTCGTCAGGGAACTTCGCGTCGTCGTGGACATTTTGCCTATATATTTATTAGGCTTTTGTTCTAGCTATTTTATTACGATTTTTTTTTATTTTGTATATTTCAGTTTCCGAAAAATTCACAATTTTATTAGATTTTCTTTTTAGTCACTTTGTTGTTGGTGCTAAATATTTTGGCTAATTTTTTATAATTCTTTTTTATTTGTATTTTTAATATGGGATTTTATGACACGATTTTTTGTTTGTGCTTTTAACGCTGAAAAAGTTAGTGAGCGCTAAAACTTAAAAAAAAAAAAAAATAAATAAATAACAAATTATTTGCCTTTGGCTGAGACACAAACACAACACTTACACACACGCACACACAATAACAGATACATATACAAACAAACATGTGTGTATGTATTTATGTATATATGGGGCAATAAATAAAATTTGTTGTTATTTGCTCTATGTGTATAAATATATATATCTATGTATATATAATTTTTTATTTATTTATTTATAGCCAGGCACTAGCTATACTTATAGAGATATAGCTCTACTCGACAATGTGTATTAAGACGTATTCACGGTAGAATATAAATGCCTGGCAATTAATATATCAATTTTGTGCAATTATTCACGAAATTTATTAACTTTTTCAAAGAATCTATTCACAGATAGAGCACACTTGGCATAGACTGCTTAAGAGCTGATCCGTATAATCGCTCGGCACTCGATGCTAATTAGACGAACGACAGGAAGAGCGCGATTATCTTGTATTTATATATTTGGTAGACATTATATACTAAATATTATATTTATTTTTATTTTTATTTTATAGCATATATATATAGATGACTTTGGTCACACTTTTGCTGGTAATCCTTGTGCACACTAATTGAGCGCGTTCACGTACTGGCATTTCCCACCAAGTTGGCGCGTCGTGATTTCCCTCGATACTGAGCGAAAAATTTTCGTTTTGAATTTTCGCGAAAAGCTAGCAGCTAACCGAATCGTTAGACAACATCAAAGACACATTAAAAACAACGATCGAACGCATCGACAAATAGCGAGAGGCCGCTCGGCTCTATCGTCCGTCGTCGGCGTCGCCGGCGCCGTCGCTGCCGACGCTGCCGACGCTGCTGCCCTTGACAGCGGCGCTGCCACTGTTAAAAATAATAATGGAAAAGAAGAAATCCTCTCTCTTAAAGTTCTCTTGTTGTACTAGTACTATTTACAAATGTCTTATTTATTGGGTTAACGTGACACACGCGAGTGAAAAACAGAAGAGCAACAAAAAATGTTGTAGTTTTGACCTCCATAAACAAAAAACCGCCGCGATCCTCCAAGCAACATCCGTTACTAACGATCCGCACTCTCAATGTTTTTCAACTTGACCGTGAGTCTTTGCGAGACGTCGTCGTCCTCTGTCTGTCTGAATGTCTGTCCATGATAATATATATATTGTTTGTATGTGTGTGTGAGCGCTCGGGCCAGAAATTGGGCGCCGATAGGTGGGTGTCGCTATAATTATACAAAGTCTTGACTTTGTGCGCGCCTCGTGCAAAAAACATATGCATATGTATGTGTATCCTAAGCACTCAAACACACTCACACACAACCACATTTATATTTCATCTGCTGTTCTTTTGGAATATGCTGCTTAATTACTCGCCGGGTTGCACGGCATCCGCACCGAGATCAGCAAATATTATTCTAATACTAATGCTTTGACTACAGACAGTAAAAAATTTACATTTGTGTTCGCTTCCGCTATAATTGAATGGAATTTAAGAGCAATATAAAAATCGAATCTTGTACAATAGGAAATCGTGTAAAATAAAATACTTAAATGAAAATTACAATTAAAATATTATATAGAACAAAGTGATAGATAAAATAAAAATAAAATGGAAAATATCTCTCTTAAATCATAAACAAGTTGATAAATTGGGCTGACAAAATATTCGAAATATATTCAATTTATTTAATTATAGAATTTATTTACTATAGATAACATTAGTGTAGAAATA